GTTTTATTGATTGCATGTAATATTCTAATTTACTGAGTTTGTGGATTTGGGGTTTTCATGAGCTTTAAGCCATAATCATCGCACTTAGAAAAATCACGACTTGAACTATCTTGCTTTGCATGTAATGCGTCTATCTCATATATTAGTTTGCCCTTTTAGGTTGCATTACTGAAATAAATGAACTTTTGCACGATATTCTAATTTTTTCGAGTATCAATATATATATATTTCCTGACTATTATTCATGGCAGCATATACACATGGGGTTAGCTCCTCCCCTTACAGCCGATAGGACAGGAAAAACACCAAGGTTTTAAAAGGAGGCTTCATCCCTAAGGTCCTCAGTCTTTTTCCTGTCCTACAGTCGTTAGGACGTGAGCAATTTGCTCTCCTTACTTACGGACATGTATGGTTTTTTTTTTATCTTCATTACTTGTACTGTGGTACATTATGCAGTTGTGCTTTTATGCTGTGATGCATTTAAGCTTTGATATCTTTAAACTAGTGCATTATACAGCTGTACCTTATTTTTAAAATTGTGGTACATTATGCGGTTGTGCTTTTTACTAGGAAGCATTTAAGCTGTGTTGCATTTAACCCCTTAAGAACCAAACTTCTGGAATAAAAGGGAATCATGACATGTCACACAGTTAAGCTGTCTGGCATTTAAAACTGTTTCATTTAAATTTGCATTTAAAACGGTTGCATGTAATACTGAGAGTCATTGGAAACTGCAGTACATTTGGAAAACTGCAGTACTTTGGAAGACTGCAGTGCATTGGAAAACTGCAGTACTTTTGAAGACTGCAGTGCATTTGAAGACTGCAGTGCATTTGAAAACTGCAGTGCATTTGAAAACTGCAGTGCTTTTGAAAACTGTGATACATTTTGAAAACTGTGATACGTTTTGCAGCTGTGCCTTAAGGCTGTGTTACCTTTTATACCATGAGGCCTTTAGACTGTTGTGCCTTTACACTTTGACTTTTTGCACCTGGTTGTCTTTTAAAGTTCCTTGCAGGCACTTTTATGTTATCTATTTTGCTTCCCCTCAGTCCCAGGGATTTATTCCCGGTTCCCTGGGTGTTTATGGGCCATGTATGCTTCAGAGAGTGTTCTCTCCCTGGTCTCAGCAAACACACTCAGAATAGGCCCACACGTGTGCAGTTTGTGCCTTAATGGGCCTAACACAGTTGACTTCCATTGTGGGAATACATTTTTTTACTTAATACTTTACCACAGGTAATATTTAGTTATTATTTGTCAGATGTCTGAATCTTTACCAGGTTCTGGTTATGAAGAGAAAACAGTGGAAGGAAAACGGTTATGCCCTGACTGCCTCCAGAAGGTTGCCGCTTCAGCATGACCAATCACTGTGAAGCCACATGACATGTGGGGAAGGGCTTACAAAGTAAGTTCCAGAGGCCTTAGGGTTAAGAAAAGAGGCCAGGCTTTACCCTGTGGAGAAATTTATTTCCAACCCCTGAACTTCACCACCTAAGTTACAAACTTATGGATCATAAGTGGACGCAGACCTGTCCAAACATTTTACGCCTACCATTGCAGGATGCCAGCCAGCTGTGGCTTCCGCTGCTGTTTCCACAAACATGAAATATGTGATTAAGGATCTAAAGGCTAATATGGAGAGAGATATTAAAAGCCAAGATTGAAGAGGCAGTCTGAAGTCTTCAGGTTACAACTGACTTCTTCACAGAAACTTCCCTAGATGTAACTAGGATATTCTCTGTATCAAATGGCTTTATCTATAGCAGCTAAAAAAGCATTATGGTTCTGTTTCTGGGATGATGACTCGTCCTCCAAGTCTGCCCTCTACACCATTCTATTTGAAGGGGTGGTGCTGTTTGGGAAATCTTTAAATAATTCCATTGAAAAGGTGAATGAGGGCTGCAAGATATTTGTAAGGATCCCAGCTCCTCATAGTCTGAGAAACTCCAGTGACCAGTATTTCTGAGATACATGGAGCTACTGACCCTGAATACTCCAGAGGTAACTCATGACAGTTGGTAAACCAGCCTTTCAAGGTTCTATTGGAGCTATTAAGCAGTCTTTTTTCTCTTCAGCAATGAACAGATCTACTCCAGTACTAGGAGCCTCAATTTTCTGATCAGACATACCTGGGCTCGTCATACTCTGGAGACTTGGGTGGTATCCATAGTCCAGATTGATATAGACTGGAGTTTTTTCTTCAGGCACAGGAGTCTCTATGCCAACAGGAGTATTAAGACCAATGAATCAAAAGGTAAAGCACTGAAGGAAGAAGCCTTCTGGACGAAGAGGTGATTTTTTAGGTCCCAGAACAAGAGCAGTTTCAGGGACAAGTTTCGCCTCTCTTCTGGTGCTAAGAGGAAAAGCACATGGAAGCCTACACTGGACCCAAGAGGGGCCAACAAGAGGCTGCATGTCAGAGTCTTTGGGATGGAGTCAATCAGATCCATATCTCAAGCAATTTGGAAGGTTAATTTCCTTATCTCTATATATCTCAAGGATGCTTACTATCAGTAAATCTGCAGAGATCTTCAGCATTAGCTCAGAAGAGTACTTCCAAGTTAGTGCCCTATCATTTGGCCTCAATGCGGCCCCAAGAATCTTTATATGTGCTTATAGTGATATTGAGTCCAGAACACCCCCTGGTTCCATTATCTGGAGGATCTACTTCTGGTAGCATCAGACCCTCAGAAGGCAGGCACACAGAGGAATATAGTTCTTTCAGAACTTGTAAAGTTTGGCTGCTTGATGAATTTCAAGAAGAGCGGTTTCACACCAGCTCAGTGGTTGACATTCCCGAGTGGAAAATTCTATGCTCTGCTTTTCCCTATCTCAGGAACAGTTCCACAGATTGTGGAGGTTTTCTCTCCCAGTTTCTTCATTTCTGCTTAATAACAGCAAGAAAATAGATGCAACTACTAGGAAATCATGGCTTCCACCAGCAGACTTGTCAGATGGGCCCAATGGCATCTCTGGATTCCTCACAGATCCTTCCTATCTTGGTTTAACAAGAGAAAGATTATTGGAGCCAGCCACTGACTATGTCCCCATCAGTGGAGTTACACCTTACCTGGTAGCTGAAAAGAGAGAATAGATCTCTGAGTTTCCAGTGAACAGAACCTCATTAGTCAATTATTAGCTCAAATTCCAGTTTTTATAAGATTGGTTGCACAGTGTTTGGACCATGTTGCACAAAATTTTCATTCATTTGTATGGAATTATGAGTCACTTTCAAGGATCTTCTTCACTTCAGAGGATTGCCGAAGAACGAGTGGGTCCAAATTTGCTCAAATATCAATGCAACTGTATCCTATATCTATCAAAATGGGTCTCACAGATACATATTGATGGAATTCCAGCCCATAATGATCAGGGCACAGAAGAACTACCAGGGGCTCAGAATACAATGGCTGTTTGCTTGAGCCAAATAACTGTGGACAAGGTGGATTGGCAACCATGCCCCGACGTATCCTCGGGGTTGACGTAAATTTGTCTAATACCCCACATAGATCTGATGGCCATTTCTTGGAACTACCAGGTCCAGAAGTATTTTCTACATGCTAGGACCAGAATGCTCAGGTTCAGGATACACTGACTCAAATTTGGAATTTTAGCCTGATGTACATATTTTCCTGTTTTCGAGTTTCCTAAAAAGGTAATGCAAAAGGTGACATTGGATGACTGTGTCGACTCTAATTCCTATGATGAATAAGATGATTCTGGAACCTCCAAGGGAAATTTCACTACGTCCAGACCTATTACAAGGCCACTTGACACACCAAGATTCTCAGGTTCTGGTGTTGATGCGGGAGTCCATATTAGTATAGGCATCCCTGAGACGGTCATTGAGATCATCTTACAATCCTATACATACATTACAAAGCTTGACATGCTTTTGTCTGTTTGAATTACTCCTCATTCAGGCCTTGAAAGGGTCTCTGTTATAACACTCTAGATGAGCACTTAGCTGTACTTTTTTTCATATAGGCATTGATTGAAATCAAGCCTCCACTGAGTGTTGTGAAGCTAATATGTGATGTACCACTGGTCTCACGGGCCGTGACTAAACCATTATTCGAACCTCTAGAAGGAGTTTCCATGGTGGTAGCACAGAAAGTGCTGGTGGCTGGTACCCCAGCAAGGAGAAGGGGTGAACTCCAGGCTTGATCCTGTGAACCCCCTTTCACTATTTTTCAACAGATATGGTCGTCTTGCATGTGGCACCTGAAGATGCTGCCTAAGGTGAATGCTTATCTACGTCATTCTCTACCTGTACTGAAGGGTACCCATTGAGCGTTGATGCCCCTGGTACTTTGTTTCATGTATGCAACAATTGTATGCAACAATTGAACTCAAGCCTCCACTGAGGGTGTTGTAACCAATATGTGACACACCACTGGTCTGACGGGCTCTGACTAAACCATCATTTGAACCTCAGCAGGAGCTTCCACGATGTTAGCACAGATGTTGCTGTTGCTGGTGGCTGGTACCTCAGCAGTGTGAATGTGTGAACTCCAGGCTTAATCCTGTGTACCCCCATTCACTAAACTTCAACAGGTTATAGTTGTCTTGCATGTAGCATCAGAGAGCCTGCCTAAAGTGAGAGCCTTTCAATGCCATTCTCTACCTGTACCAAAGGATTTCATACCATTCTCCACTAGTGCTGTTGCAGCATCTCATGGGCTTCCATGGCAATGTTTATTTTAGCATATTTCTTTTGTCGCAGTACCCTTAAATTCCACAGTCTTTTGTTTCTGAAATTTACATGTACTGCAGCTTCCACATCTGAGGAAACCTTTAGGTTTCTCCCTTAAAAAATTATCTGTGGTTTTATCTGGAAATGTTATCGTTTTTACAGTATTAATACGGGGTAAAGTGCTCGGTGCTAGGATAGACTTCAAACTCTGAGTCTTTTTATAAATAATCTGTGGTTTAGTAGGTAAAAAAATTTCAAATACTGATCCAGCTTTAAAATGGGCCAACATTTTTTAATAATTTTCTCTATCTGATTAGCTTTATTATTGTATCTATCTGATTACAATAATAAAGCTAATCAGATAGAGAAAATTATTTAAAAAGTTGGTTTTGCGTGTCAGGATGGACTGGCGCGCATGCGCGGCAACGTGTTTGCCGTAAAGCGCATGCGCGCACCTGAAAGAAACGCGCGAAAATGAAGATTTAAAAAGACAGAAGCAATCAAAGGAAATACAGCTCTTGAAAAAGTCCGACGGACGAAACGCATTGAGCAGAGGAGCAGAGGCTTGCCAGCACTTCCCAGAAAAAAGATTCAATTTTTTCTCTGCATGGGACTTTCCATCCAGGAGGCATTGACAGTGGACTTACAAAAGGGAACTGCATCCAGCAGTGTTGAAAAGCGTTTTTGCACAATTTGAGATATATGTCTCTTTGTGCCATCATTTTTGTGAGTGTATATTGTGATTTTTTTCTGTAATCTATTGTTATTAAATACTTCACTATATGTGCTCTTTATTTTCTCTTTCATGTCCATCTCCATATTTTTATGGTAAATATATGCACGTGTTGTGATTGTGGCGCCCCCTGGGTATATGTTTTTTTAAACTATACATTTCTTTGTCTGTATTGTGGGATCTGGGAGTGATTCCTGAATTGGGGAGGCTGTCCTGCACTGGTTTATGCACCTTGTCCCATACACCGTTTTATGCTTATTTATTTGAAAGAAACATATGTCTTTAAATTTGCCCTCAGTTATTGGTTTGTCTCTGAGAGCTTTTAGTAAGTTTTATTTAAATGCAAAAGAGTGGAAATGTGCCAAGGTGTCTCCTGGTTGTTTCTCAGGAATAGCTTTTGGCTTAGATACCCTGTGTACTCTTTATATAGTATAATCATACAGCTATAGAAATGGTACTATAATCTTAAACATTTCTTCAAGGAAATTATTGTTCATTTCTTGAGTTATATTCTCTGGAATATTACGAAAGCGAAGATTAGATCTTCTTGATCAATCTTCTAAACGTCTTATTTTGTCTTCTAATTTCTTGATTTTTTTCAGAGTTATTTTTTGTATCAGCTCTCAGTTCTGCATGCTGGATTTCATTTTTAGAGAATTTTTCTTCTAATGAGGACATCCGTGCTGCCATATTTCTAATGTCTTCTTTTATATCCACTGAACTTTGAAGAATTTCCTCTTTGATGGTTAGGGCCAGATTGTCTAAACAAGTTTTAAGGAAATCTGGTGATATTGTTGAATTTCCTGCTTGTGACTCTCCATCTAAATAGCTAAAACACTGTATATCTTGTGCTTCTTCTCTTATTTTTTCAGAGGGTGGGGTAGGGGAAAAAAACCTGATAGTCTTTTATCAGGTTTGATGTCTTTTTTTTTTTCTCTTTATCCTGGGGTTTCTTTGTTGCCATGTTATTTACTGCTTTGGTTTTATATACCTTTAATGGGTAGTGAATTATCACTTCTAATTGATACAAGGAGCTGTTTAGTCAAACATCGCTCTGATTGCTCTTACTTTCTCTCACTTTCTTTGTTCAACTCAACAGCCGCCAAACATCCCACCTGTCCAGACCATGTGCTGGATCAGCCTGGACTCAGTCTCCTCTGCTCGGTGGTGTATGTGTGCTTACGTCATCACTGCCCTCAGAAGAGCACAGATAATTTTAAAAAGTTGTTCTGTATGAAAAATCATAATAATTTGTGAAAACTGAAAAAACATGGACATGGATGATAAGAAGATTATGATTTTTAAAGTACACCAATAATCACTTGCATAACTTGGTATCAACTATGTTTCTAGCAGGGAATGCACACATTCGATGAAGGAAGTTCCACAGGAACGATGCAGCCCTAGAGAAGTCTTAAAGACGAGCACCAGATGTGGGAGTACGGACAGAGGATAGATATAGGTCTTTGATAGAGACTTGTAAGCAAGTACTAGACTATTACATTGAACCCTATATCTTAGGGGAAGCCAATGTAGGAACTGACAGAGGAGGTAGGCGTGGGAGTTGAGGGTTGACATACTGCCAACTTTTTTTTTACAATAAGTACAACATGACAACGTTTTGGTCGATATGGAGTATGACTTGTGAAAGGCCATCCACATTGGCTGAAACATTGTCATGTGCTAATTTCAATAAACCGTCTGCAGTGTGATGGAATCTCTACCTGGAATCTCTCTGCACTTGGTGTCACATTAGAGTAAATGCAAATTCATTCATATAATATGAGAGTCAAACTGCTAGCAAACATATAGAAGAACACTAGATTCCCGCTATATATGTTTTTTTACCTTCTCGGCACTTTTGTTATAGGGTCAGCAACTGTCCAACTTCCGAAAACTGCGAGCGTGCACCCTGTATGTTAGGAGACATTGGGGGGGGTTAAATATATAATTTGGGATGTGAATGTGAGCCTGTCATCTACACAGTTATGTTTTCAAGTTCACTTTAAGAAGCATTAAATTCACACAAAGAAAGAAAAAGAATTAACTGCGTTGTTTCTCTTTGATATTTAAATGCAAACTTATATTAAAACACAAATGTCATGCAAAGACAACAAATCCAATTATTTTTAAGTGCATTTGTCCTTGTAAACTTGTAAAATGCCAGAGGGAAAAGAAAACTGTTGTCATGCCAACAGGTTTGTCACATTGTACAGATAAATCTAAGGATCCTACTTCAGAAAATTACAAACAATGATGTAAAGGAAAATCGAAGAACACACTTGGAACACATTTGACCACTTTCTTTTTATACAATCAAGTTTAACCCGTTAACGTTATTAAGGCGTACTATGCCGCCCTGAAAAAAGTGGGCTTAAACGATGTTAGGGCAGCACGGTACACCCTATCGATTTTGAGTCCTTCGGACATATTAAACTTACATGTTGCGATGCCAGTGGGGGTGGAGGGGACTGCCTCAGAACCTCAGTTCCCTTGCATCCAATATGGCCCTCACAAATAAATATAATATCGCTATGACATATAGGCCTGAATGGCAATAAACAGTACTGCATGCAGGAGACTGCATGGGTTGTCATGCAATCTCTCAAACTGTAAAAAGTTTAAAAAATGATTATTAAACATTTTAAATAATATATTATACATATATTAAATATGTATAATATATTTTAAATTAAACCATTTAATTAGTAAATTATACATATATAATACATAAATTATAAATATGGTAAGTCTCTGCTGGAAATCAGCCAACAATGTTGGTGTTCCAGCTGAGAAAAACCAACTGCAGTACCAAGGGGAGACTCCAGGGGTCTCCAGGGGCTTAACTCCAGAACACTAATGAAAAAACAGAGAAAACACAAAGTATTAGTCACAATGCCAAAAGACACATGTGGCTATCTGGAAATATACAGTAGTCTAGAAAAAGTATACTATGTACATTAAATGTAAGGATCGAGATATCCACATATAGTGTGAGTTAAAAATTAAAATAGATAGAAAAAATGTTCCATGAACCCTGGGTGATATGAAGGTATCACCAATATAGTCTTTGGCAGCAGATAGCTACTCTGAGCTTTATTTAATACGGCTCTGTAGGCTTCTGCGATGCTATCCTATTGGGTTTAATATATCAGTCAGAGTGGTATTTCTAGGCATTGTGACTAGTACTTTGTGTTTTCTGTGGTTTTTCATATATAATACATATATAATTTAATTGTTCCTGTATTTTATATATATAAATATCAAAATACACTTTGAATGAAAGTACTATGTATTATATATGTATAATAGATTGATAAAATCCTTTAGCTAATTTATTATATAAAATAAAAGATAGTATATATAAAATAAAAATTTATATATATATATATATATATATATATATATATATATAAATAATTTCATTTTAAGCATATTTTAATATTAATATAAATAGAGAGAGAGAGATCAAGATCAAAATACACTTGGAATTATATTTGCCCTCTAACTTTCCACCATAAAATCTGTACATATGGTGTGCTGTTATACGCGTGAGACTTTGTTCAACACAAATATGAGTGTTTTAAAACATTAAAACTTGTATTGATGATGATGTAATCAGTGAGCATACAGTTTTTGTGTGAAAAATACAAAATAAATATATGAACAATAAGTCTGACGAGGATTTGTACTAAGCGGCTACTAAAAAAAAACTGGACATACCCCATTCTGAATACCCTGGTTTGTCTACTTTTGCAAATGGGGGTAATTATCAAACCTGGACTGTCATATGGGCTCATAGGCAACATAAGCCCAGAAAACCAACCTGGCAAACTGAAATGGGAAAGCCGTGTATTTGACCTTGTAACTTGCCAGAATAGGGGGGTATTGTTGTATACGTGAGACATTGCTGCACACAAATATTTTATTTTATTTTTTTAGAGTAAAACAAGCAAATGACAATCATATAAACAGGTAAAGGGCATTCGGATTTGTAAAAAATGCAAAATAATGATATGAACTTTAACTTTGACTAGGGTTTGTGACTAAATAGCTACCAACAAAAAAATGGACATACTCAATACCCTGGGTTGTATACTTTAGCAAATGGTATGTCATGACAGGGGTGATTCTCATTCCTGGGTAGCCATATGGTTTCAAAGGCAACATAGCCAATCTTGCAAATTTCAATGTTTAAAAGTAAAATGGGCAAGCCCTTTATTTGACCCTGTAACATTACAAAACTCAATAAAACCTGTATATGGGGGAACTATTTTACTGTTGAGACATCACTGAACACATATATGAGTGTTTAGAGCAGTAAAATGCATAATGACAATGATATCATCGGTGAAATTGCTGTGTTTGTGTGAAAAATGCAAAAACAAATATTAATGATAACTTTTCCAGTGTATGTGACTAAGTGGCTACTAAAAAAAGACTGGAAATACCCCATTTTGAAAACCTTGGGTTGTCTACTTTTGCAAATAGTATACCATGATGGGGTTAATTTTCATTTCTAGGCTGTTATGCTCTCTCAAATGAAACATAGGCACAGCAAACCAGTCTGGCAGATTTCAATGTGTAAAAACTAAAAAGGGAAAGGACAATCTTTCCAAAACCCCATAAAACCTGT